GAGGAAAAGCCCTGTGTGTCCCCCCACCAGCCCACGGTCCTGGTTTTTATGAGCTGGGTCACGTCTGAGGGGGATCCCTCTCCACAGCGAGCCCGGCAAAGAGCCACAGGGACCTGCGGCAGATGCTGCCCTGCCAGGTGTCACCTCATCCACTGTGGTCCCTTCCCTTCATGCCCCCCCCCTCCCAGCCCCAGGCGATCGCCTTTCTCTGATCGCTCTAATCTGGTCTGATCCCCCCTTATCACATTACTGCTCGCTGATCACCTGCACATGCACCTCTGCCTGCTCGCTCATGGCAGCCCTGCCAGCACAGGCAGCCTGAACCAGGAGCTCCTGCCAGCCTTGCCGGGGTCTCACAGGGCTGAGGTGTGGGTGCAGGGGCTCCCCCAGCCCCTGACACCAGCCCTGGAAACACCTCTGATGAGCATGCTTGGCTCCAAGCCTGAGCATCTGGGCTAGGCAGCTCCTTGGGTGAAGAAAGAAGTAGGCAAACTCCATCCACTGCTCTGGACAGAGCTTTTTCTGCCCCCTTGAAGCTAGCTGAGCGTTTCCTCCCATTTGCAAGAGACACCCCTGAGAGTCCTTCAGCCACGAGCACTAGCACCTCTGGGACTAGCAGTCACTGAGGCAGCTCATAAGGGCAAGTCCTATGTCTGGAAACAGTCTGAGAGTACTTTGAACTCCAAAGGCTGGTATTCTCCCATCAGAAGGTGTTCTCAGTCTGTCACCCAGCTGAATGCCTCTCCAGATAGGCCTTGACATCTGGAGGCGACATCTGGAGCCGACATCTGGAGGTTTTAGACAAACTCTGCGACAGCAAGGCATCAAAATCAGTGTCCAACAGCCCTCGCAACTGACATCCACTAATCTAAAAGCGTGTTCAGACCTTCTTTTGCCAGGAACTCTGGGGCTGTTGGTGTTTGTGAACTGAAGCCTTCCTAGAGGGGAGAAACGTCCCTCTTGATGTAAATACACCCCAAACTACCCACATGGGTACCAACAGCTGAAAGTCTCCACATATCCTGGTGTGTCTTGTAGCTGCAAACAAGGGAAGACACCTCCCCTGGCCATGTTGGAGGAGAGAGGGGCCCCACCTGATTCTGTGTCTCACATCCCTGTGATTCCTCAGTGATTCCAGCATGTGCTTGGGGTCAGGCCCTGCACTGGGTTGGACACAGGATGGCAAAAATCCTGTGATTTGTACTGAGCATGCTACGGACACATCACACTGACCCTGTGACTTTTAACCAAATAAACAGCCAAGGACAAATCTGTCAGGTCCTTGTGTTCGGTACTTGGGGTGCTGCTGTGGGATGTCCCCCTCACGGCAAGCTCAGCCCTTGAACATCTCCAGTCACTCTTTGTCCTTAGCAAAATGGCCCCCTCTCCGCTTTGGTTTGCATTAGGTGGTAAGAAGCATCCCAGCCCTTTTGCTATAGATACCCCTTTATGAACAGAGGTAGAGGGGCAGGCGAGGACTGGGGCCCGGTGGCTATTTGGGCTTTGCAGCCAGCGTCACTGCCCTTCCTGGGAAGAGAGGCTGCAGGGAAGTCAGGAGTGAAGAAATATCACTGGGAGTCTGGGTCTGAAATGCTGTTTGTCCCGAGCCCTGCTAAATGCAAACAATATGTGAGAGGAGGTGCCCGGGCCTTTAGGGCAACACCTAACAGCCTAGTTTCCCAAGAAAATGAAGCAAATAAGACATAGCGCTCTGTGCATGACTGTATCCGTGCCCACTTTCAGCCCTAGTGAGCAGAAGAGTAAAGAGATCCGTGGTATGAAGTTGCTACGTAGCTACGGAAAATGGGAGACCAAGGGAGTAAAAACAGTTGGCTCATGCCCCCGTGAAGGGGGAAGGCTGCAGTGTGCTCTTGGGGCATTAGACACTGGGGAAGAATCCAGAGCACAGCGTGCTGTCAAGACAGGGATCCGCTTTAAACAGGGCACGGTTTGCTGCTTGGCTTAGGGAACGACTTGTAGGATTGGGAGCAGGGCACGAGCTGGGCTGTGCCACCTCCCACCCTTCAGACGGCCCCTGCCAAAAACTGCCAGCTGCCAGGGGTGATGCCCAGTCAGGACTCGTGTCCCTTCTCTCACTGGTAAGCAACGGTCCTGCGGCTTCCTCCCGTAGAAAGGGACATGGTCTCTCAAATCCACACAAGAGAAACCCTGTCAGATGAAGGCCTCATCCTGCCCCCAGGAATGATTTTATTGTCCCCTTCAGTAGGAACAGAATGGGGCCTCGACACATGAGCAAGGTATGAGCAAGGAGACTAAAGCCAAGGAGACGAGCCAGGAACCTGCGCTCCTGGCCCACTCCCTTCGTCAGGAGACGTCCTCCTCCTTGCAGAGGTGGCAAAGCCAGACCTAAAATGAAGTGAAGACGTGTCTTCGTGCCACTGCTTCAATATTCTCCAACTGTGAGAGGCAGCCCCAGCTCTGGAGGCCTTAATGCAAATGTTCTCTCAAATCTAATGCTTTTATCTGGAAGAGCTCAGTCCCAGTAGACTGAGACCCAGTCCCAGAGACTTATTTCTTGGCCTTCTTGCCCTTGCCCTTCTTCTTCTTCTTCCTTTTTGACTGTCAGCAGCTTTGCCAGGAGGACAAAGAATAGATTTTGTGCTTTATTTCTTGGCCTTCTTGCCCTTGCCCTTCTGAGACCCAGTCCCAGAGACTTATTTCTTGGCCTTCTTGCCCTTGCCCTTCTTCTTCTTCTTCCTTTTTGACTTGAAGAGGGACCGCACTAAGTAGCCTCTCCAGAAGGCCTGGATGCGGGTGGCAGCAAGAGTCATGGCGTTCAGCTCCTTCAAAGCCTGCTCCTTCTGCATCTGATGTGTCCTGCGCTCCTCCTCAATCTGGGAATACTCCTGGAGAAGCACAGCGTGTTTCTCGGTCAGCAGGGACAGCTGGGCCTTCTCCTCGACATAGGCAGCATGAACCTCCTCATACTCAGCCTAGCAAGACAGCAGATACCATGTACAGCAATTTTGAGAGCATTCAGCAGCTCCTCCCTGTACATCCCTAGATAAGCGTTCTTAAACCCATCCCAAATCCAAGCAGAACCGTGACTGGGAGCTGAGCTGAGCCGAGCCTTTCCAAAGGGACTCAAAAAGGAGGCATGTGCCCAGTACCTAGGGAATTTCATGAGATACCAGGTCATAGTATCTTCACGCCTCTCTGAAAAATACTCGCGTCATTCTCCCTGTGTTGCGAAGAGCATCCACCCTCAGCTGGGAGCTCTGCCCAGGTAACAGACAGGGAGGTCAGAGCCCCTCCTGCAGATGCTCTGTGCACAAAGACACATGGCTGCAGGCTGGGTAAGGCTGAGCCTGAGCCGACAGCTTTGCTGAGGAGCCGTTTAGACGAGTGGCACTGAAGCCTAACTAACATGCTGCACACTGTTGAGAGCATGAGAAGGGCCAGACCATGTCAGCCTGGAAAAGGCCAAGGACAGGTAGTTTTAATGGTGTTACTGCGCTTCCAAGCTCAGCAGCAGATTATGCCATCCTAATGCCTTTGAGGAAGCCATGCGGAGGTGGAAGATTAGGGGAGCCGGCAGCGTGGATCTGTGTCCACCTTGGCAAGTTCTGCCCCAAACCTGCCGTGACGTGATGCTTCAGCCACTCACCAGGCAGGAAACCAAAACAATCCCCTTGTTAAACAGCTGACAAGGGGGGAACAATCTTAGAATTAGCAGCCAGCTTCTAGGCCCCTTCTTACATTTTGCTTTGTTAGTAATCCAGCCGCTTTTATCCATCTCCATAAACAGGGCAAGAACAGGGAAGCAACTAGGGCCTTTTCAGAGGTGAGGTTGCAGGGTGCTGATGTGATTCTCAAACCTTTGTGGTTAAGTTGGATGCCAAGGCAGCGCTATGCAGGCTGTTCGGTTTCTTAGCGCTTAGCACACCTCTCAAGGGGGCCAGCAGAAATAGGAGCATTATTTGGACACCAGGTATGGCCAAAAGGATTGAGGATCAAAGGAAAACTGAAAAACCTGTTCCCTAGCATCACGTGGGCATGTCTGACAGGACGTGGCAACCCATTTGCCCCCGAGTACTGTGGGATTTAGCAGTGTACGTAACTTTTTCTAAAGTCAAGGCAGCAGAGAACTCCTGAACACATAGGCGGGACAAAGATACCTTTCCTTCTAAAGCCTGTACTTCTTCTGGATGGAGAACTGCCTCTCACTTCCACAGCCTCCTCTGTAAGAGCCACATGTCCATTTGGACCTGAACATGTCGCCTCATGGGAGAGGAAAGCACTTTAAAGTGGGTACCTGTTTTTCTCCCATGTCTGTGTCATATTTCTGGATCCAGTTCACAATTTCCCTCTCCAATCTGCAGTTCCTCTGAAACACAAAACGAGACGGGTTGCTCGCACGCACCTGACGCATGCTGAAAAGCGGCCAGAGTCAGAAAACAGTGTGTAGCTTTGAGCCCCAGCATCATTAGATTTCAGTATAACACCTCCTACTTGTGGCAAGCTTCCTTCAGCGGACACGTATTTTGTTTGGCCTGGTTTGGGGACTTTCATGGGACATTCCCGGAGGCCAAAAGGGCCTTATTTGGTTTACAGCATGGAGCTGGGGGATTGAAACGCATCTGAAAGGTGCACTCTGCAGTAGGAAATGAACGTGTCTGAAGGAATGTGGCAAGTCATCCACAAACTGGGGCAACCACCCTAAAATTGAAGCAATAGAGAGCTGCTAAACATGAAAAGCGGGACAGAAAGTACTTAAAAGATTACGCCTTTTAAAACCATTACCAGTGTGTGCTGTCCTGCCCGTGGGAGGCCAGTGCTGGTTTGGAGTAAATACCCAGCAGGAGCCAAACAAGGGGGGAAAATGCTCCTTTTCCAGTTCTAGATTCACTGTGCCCTGTGTCACCAGCGCGTTCTGCTCAGGCCAGAGCTGTTGATGCAGAGACCCGAGCCTGCCTGCTGCTCCTGTTTCCTCCTTCTGCATCTGCTCAGCACTGTGATAAATCACATTTCCCCCTCATTCAGCTCAGCCCGACTCCTTGGCTCGTGTCTTCAGCAGGGTGCCAGACAAAGTAGGAACTGCCTAGCTCCCAAGATCAGCTGCGCTCAACCTTGAATACTACAATCAACTCTAAAAGATGGCTTTATATAAAGCCAATATTATGTTTGCTCTGCTTACCCTACACCAAATCCCTTGTTTCTTAACGTATGCCTTGCCTATTTTGCTGTAGTCTTCCTGCTCTGCGCCCTGACTAGACCACAGCCCCCCTAGCATGCAGTGCCGCAGCGCAGTATAAAGGTGTTTTCAGAGCTAAGGCAGCAGGCAGGAGGAGAACCTGTGAGCAGGCTACTTCCCTGCTGTCGCTGCAGGGTTTCTTTCCACTGGAATCAGCGGAGCACGAGGACCGAGCAGGTGTACTCTGACAAACAGCATGTGCATCCTGCCAGAAACTGGCAGGAACCAAATAATTACTTGCAGCAGCCAGACCTGACAGTGCTACAAAAGGTTCTAAATCTCCTTTTCTAGAGGTGTCCTCCTGCTTACCGTTCTGAGAGCCAGCTCTGATGCTCGATGCTCCAGTACAAGTGCATCGAGTTGTGCTCCTAGCTGTTGAATGTCCTGCTGTAGCCTGGCACACCTGGCCTGTGAGCCTTGCAGCTCCTCTTTTTGCTGTTTTTCTCCTTCCTGCTTGATCTGCTGGATGCCAGCCTTGCAGTCTTTGGCCAGATCTTGCATGCTGGTTTTGAGGGCTTTGATCACATTGTCCTTCTTGTCAATCTAGACCCAGAAGACAAGAGAAAGAAATGCCATCGAGAAATGCCAGTGAGGCATAAGGTGGGCAGGAGAAGTAAGGCACCCTTGCAAAGGCAGAGGAGATCTAAGAAGATCTGGTAGCAACAGGGACCTGCCACTGCTGGCTGAGGGAACAGGGTTAGATTTGCACAAGGTGCTTCGGTAACCTTCCCCTACTGCTCCTCTGGGAACCTGTTAACAAAGGCAGAGAATGAACAAACCGTACCAAGACCCACTGGCACTGCCATCTGAGGAAGAGCCAAAATCAGAGCCGCTGGAGCAAGCCCCGTGGCTCCCCCGAGCTTTGGGTTAGGCTCAGAGTGACTGCCTGGGGGATGCAGCTCAGTGTGCTGCCTGCAAGAGAAATCCTCAGCTGGGACCAGTGAAACAGATTTATTCATGATGCCCTGGACAAGCTGCCAAATTGCACACAGAAATCCCAAGTGTCTCGATTCACAGATCTCCAAGGAGCGGAGGGAACGGGGAAAGCAGGCCCTTGTCTCCGTCAGCACCATTCAGTGCAGTGAGTGCATGACAAAACCTTCCCCTCTGACTCCTCTTGCAGGAAGGAGAAAGAAAAGCGTACGTATAAAACAAAGGATTGCTTGTCAGGAGTTCAGGGGCTTGGATGCTGGCACAGCCCACGGACTCGCAGAAAGAGCCTGGGAAATGCCCGTTTGTTTATCTGTACTTCAGTTCCCTTCACTGAAAAAATGAAGAATTTATATAATCTCGTATTAATCACAAACGCTCTAAGGCACCTAGTATTACAGAGTTGGAAGCCACAGAAATGTTGGTCTTAAGCAAGAGTGAAGACAGAGCAGATATTAAAAATGGATTTTAATCAGAGCACTCTCTCTCTGGAATGACTTTTAATCATTTCATCAGCAGTGAACGAAGTCTCGCGCTGGCAGGTGGCATTGTAGCCCTGCCAAAACACTACCGCAGCAATTTGTGCCTGTCCTGCGGCTCTTTTTTAAACTCAGTGACTTGTGTCATTGAATTTGGCTGGTGAGAACAGGTTCAAAACATGCCAAATTCAAGTTTAAAAAAAATCAAGCATGCAATAAGCGATTTTCACTCTATTTTACAATTTAAAATAGTATCTTTAAATTAAGGATCTAGTTTAGAAATCATTTCTGGAACTTCCTCTTTAGGAACTACAAGAAAGGGATGGGTTTTTAGCTTACCGAGGTTTTGCTTCAGAAATGCTTTTATGGAAAACATATTCCCACAGTATCATACCTCCTCCTCTCGAGTCCGGATTGCTGCTGCCAGTTCTGCCTGTAAAGCTGTGATTGCTTCAGTGTTTTTCTTAACCTGGAGGGAGATTTCCTCCATGAACTGAATCTTTTCTTCCTCCTCCATGGGACTAGTCAGGAGTCTCTCAAGCATGAAATTCCTGAACTCCCCAAAGGCTTTGATAAACGCTTCAGCTGGTGACTCTCTCGCCCATGCTTCATACTTCAGAGCCTGGCAAAGTGAAGGGTTGGCCAGTAAGAGTCTCAGGACATTTCTGACAGAACATTTCAGACGTTGCTCTAGCAAGCAGAGACGGCCCCGTTGTTCCTCAGCTCTCATGGCATCCTCTTCTCCAGAGCTGGCAAGCAGGTGCTCCATTTCCTTTGAAAGCTTTTGGTGCTCGATCAGGCTGTTTGTGATCTCAGGTCCCAGCATATCAGCAAACCTATCCAGAGAGCCAATAATACGTGGGATCAAACTGCTCATCTCCAGCTTGGCAATCGTCTCATCCAAGACGGTTACGATTCTTTCCATCTCCATGCTATGAGGTTTTAACCGACACGGATCTAACATCTTCATGGCATCTAATGTGATCACTGCCTTCTCTGGAATTGCCATGGCCTTCACCAAGGGCTTGTTTCTTTGCTTCACGTCCTGGAGTACAGTTGGATCCACTGTTGCCATGGCTTCAGTGAAACACTTGTGAGTTGAGTGTCTTGGATTTTACATCTAAAAGGAAAACATGGTGACAGCATTAGAGAAACAATGTAATTTGGGAAAATGTGGACGTTTCAGATTACAGCGGAGTTCTCCCAGGGTCTGGGCACAGGGTCAGGACATGGGGTCATGCATCAGAACTGGTCTCTATGCCAGAGGGGCTGTCAAACACCCACAGGAAGGGTGTAATGGACTCCTGGTTTTGAAGGGTGGTGGGGAAAAAGCTCCCAACCGCCTCTAAGTGGCAGCTGAGATGGAGAAGCCCGCATTGCGGCTCTGCAGTCCCTAGAGGTGTGTGGAGAGGGGCTTGGAGGTCCCTGGGGCCACCTTGGAGGGAAGGGCAGGGTTCCCGGTGTGAAACCTCTGTCCTTCCAGGCCTGGCACTGCCAGAGGAACAAGGTAGGAGGGGGGACCTGGGTGCCCGGAGGGGCTGTGCTGGTGGGGACAAGGGCAAGAGGAGGAGGCAGGGGGCAGCTGTGTGTGGGAGCTGGCAGGGAGTGAAGGGTCCCCTCGGTGTGGGTCTGGGGACAGCAAGGTACCAGGGGAACCCAGGGATCCCCCGCTTGTGGGAGAGTCAGAGGTCGGGGGGTGAGGGGGTGGATTCCCGGTGGGGAAGACCCCGCCCGTGTGAGAG